TGCAGTATTTGTTTCCAACTAATAGAAATTGCAGGGAAACTTGTATTAGTTAAGGTAAAAGTTAAACTCAGACTAAAAGGGATTAAATGAGAAACACAAGTCAATTCTCATTATTTGTAGTAATTATGTTCCATAAAGTTGGTGTGAGCATGGAATTAGCAAATACTGAACCATTGGTCATCAGGAGATTACAGGATTAGGTTTCTGCAAGCCTCTGGTCAAGACATTTCCATCAACTGATCCACACATAACCTTGTTTTATGTGTGTTTCTGTTTAAAGGCACATTATTTAATCTACATTGCTGATTCATTAACATTGAATTCATAGCCAATAATATTATAATTCATACCTGAACAGAACTTACTTAACATATGGATTTTCTCTTTAAGACACATCACAGCTTTCTTGTGCTTAGGAAAACTAGACAGCTCTTCAGTACTATATTTGGGAGTCATACAGTGAAACTACCAACAAATCACAAAAATTCAGCAAAACGTAGCATTACACATATAGGAAAAAGAAGCTTGTTTACAGTGTAAGAGTTGAAACAATAAGGCGGAACACTGCCTTGTTAGACCTCAACTGGGTAACATGCTTGCTGAACCACTCAAATTTTTTCACCACTTTGTGCATGTACATGTCCCAAATGATGGAAAAATTGCCATAAGTATTGATTTCAGTGACAAATTTTAGTATGAGAATTCACAGATACAGAATCCATAAACAATGAAGATTGACTATACATTTTATTTCCCTCTCATGGAAGAGTCTGGCTTATGTAGAATGATGAGGCAGCTTTCTGTGAGGATATTCAGAGGCCCAGGTTCCTTCCATCTCATTGCTCTGCCATCCTCTAGGGTATTGCACTCTTTTCCATGGTTAAAGTTAACTTCTTAGGACATCTAGGTTCCACCTCCCAGAAGGGAAAGGGAAGTAAAAAACAAATCAACTAAAGAAAAAGTTGCACACATTACTGGCAAAAAAAAATTCATCATTTGATCAAACCTATCTCCAGTGAAGTCTGGAAAATGTCTCTGGCTACGTGGCATGCACTCAAGAAGAAAGGGAGATTGGATTTTGGGTAAATAATTGGCACTTTACTACAAAGAATAATTAAGAAACCAGAGGTATGTTTCTATTCCTGAAACATACCAATGAGTGCTCCCACCAATGTTATCAGAGAGTGCTTGTTTCCTTGAACATTCAGTAGAATATTATGTATTTTTTTCATTATGCCATATTGAGGCACAGAAATGTTTTTGAGTTGCCCAGAATTAGGCTTAGAGGCAGAGGAGGGCTTGGTCCAGGAATTTTAGGTTTATATTATTTCTCTCCCCCTACTCTGCCCACAGCTATTTCTTGAGTTACACCATCTTTTACCTCAAGCTAACACCTCCTAGATGGGCTTCCTGGATAACCAGACCTACACTCACCTTTCACCTTCCTAATCTTTTACATGTAGAAAGCTAATTTTTATTGTTGTTGCTGTCATTGTTGTTTTCTAATGGTTTCATGGTGTGATCCTAAATTCCAGCTTGTTGAAGACTGGTGCTATATCAGGGTATCCCTTCCTCCTGTCCGCTTCCTTAGCACCAGAGTCCAGGGCATTTGGAACAGCATTGAAAATGATTAATTTAATTAAAATTAATTGATTTAAAAATTTACTCTTCTTCAAGGGAAAGAGAGGTAATATTTATTGAGTACCTATGATATGTCAAGTATTGTGTGGCGCTGGGTAGTATCCAATATGCCACATAAATTATTCTTCATGATAACCCTGGAAGTTAGACATTATTGTTATTTAACAAGAGAAGAGAGAAACATGGAGAAATTAAGCAACTTTCTCAAAGTAACCTAGAGTAAGTGGAAGACAGAACTAATATTAAAACTAGCCATGTCTGATTCCAAAACCAGTGCTGGTCCACATTACAGAGCCACCTCCTACAGTCGGGACTTGAAGGAGGCAAGTCTTTTCTAGGATACAAAATACATGGGCATTCCAACAAACTCAGTAATCGAGATAAATATTTAATGCAATATTTTTAAATCAAAATCAATGGAAAACAACCCATAATGAACAAAATATTGCATTTTGAAATAAAGATGGGATCATTATTACTGATTTTCCATTTGTCTCAGGCTCCTACATAGCTTTCCAGAGCACTGCTACGGATCCTGCTTTTATTTAAAATTATAAGCCGAGTCATTGAACAAAAATATTGCTTTAGAAGAATTAATATGTTGGTGGTATGTAGGGTAACCCAAAAAAGAGAGAGAGACTTTGAAGTTTGGAAAGATTTTGCCCGGTTGAGATGAGTTCAGAAAAGCAAAGTCAGCATGGAATGCATGGCTGTAATTCCATTTTCCCGTCAGCTCTCTGCTAAATAACTTGGAAAGTACAAGAAGAACAATGTTTGGGATAGTCCAATGCTTTTTAATAAATTCTCTATCTTCCACATAGTGGGCTACAGATACCTTGCTACTTCTGATGCCCAGCTCTGATCGTTAACCCCAGTGTTGTACCTGGTGACTTCCCTTCACTCCTAATGGCACCTGCAGGGGAAAATTCCCATGTATCCCATGTGCATCCTCATGATTTTAGAGATTTTGATCCTGTCTTCTCTCACTTGCAGGTTTCTCCTACTAGACTAATCTTCCAAATCTTTCTAGATGCTCCAGACACAGAACTCTTCTTTATTTCCCTGGTCATTTTGGTACTCTTTTTTTAGGTCTTTACTAGCTCCGTGATCTTTCTAGGGTTGTAACATATGGTACTACATATAGCACTTGTTGATTTTCACATTATCATCTCTATGAAAAGCTATGTATAGGTTTCTAAAATGCGTCTTAGGGACCTCAGGTTTAACCAAGCCCAACTCCCCGCAATGTACGTATCAGAGACACTTGGGATCTACCCAAAGTCACTCCGAATTCTGAGGTAGGATCTGTCCATTTCCCTTCCACTGGAAGCAATTGGCTCCTCTTAGTCCATATTTTGTTCCTGAAGCAGAGTCCTGGTAAAGCTCTTCTTGAAGAGTAAAGGAGTGGAGAAGCAACAACCTACTCAGTGTACTTGGCTCACTGAGTTTGGCCCTTCCCTCTTCCATAGAGGTAAGTTCATCAAATGGCCGAAGGGCACACAGGAAGGAATTGAAAGTTGTCTTGTATGGAGAAGTAGAACAATGATTCTAGAGAGTGCTGTTTCATGTATAATACCCTTTTCTGATGACACCCAAACTTTGCTGATCTTTTTGTAGAAAGTGTACATTGGTTCCTATCTTTAGGGAGTAATCTCCAGCTACTCTGAGCTTCCTTTCCTTGGCCAAGATGAATTTTATCTAATGGTCAATGTTACTCGAATATGACCTCATAAACCTGGTCTTAAACTGTGCACAATCTGAATGTTTTTGCCAATTGTATGAATACAAGAATGTACAGAATTGGTAAAAGATAGTTTGTTTACATTTCCTAGAGGCTGGTCAAAGAGGAGAAAGTTCAAGAGATATTACTTATCTGTAAGACTGTTGCATTCACCATGATTTTAAAGGGGAGAAGGTGAGAAGAAAAGAAGGTCAGCAAAATATGAAAACCTTATACTGGGCAGTGGCTTAAATGTCTCATAGGCTTAGGCCTGTAATATGAATGAAGTTGACCGATGTGCAGGAGCAGTGGACAACACCAGAAAATATGCCTAATCTAAAGGGGCAAGCAACACTCAGTGTCAGCCAATTGTTGCCACGTGGGTCCAATGTCACTAGATCTGATTTTTCAAGACTATTCAGAAATCTGGATTTTTCTATGAAATTATCTAACTTTTAAATGCTGGCAACAAATCCAACTTGGGAGGTAGGAAGAAAGAGAGAAAAGATGAAAGTGAACCAACCACATGTAGGACACAGGGTTTGCCAATTTGTGACTCTTGACTTATGCACACTTCTTCTTTCTTGTCTTTCCCAACAATTCAAGAAGTAAGTTTAGCAACTTACTTCAATGTATATTCAGAACTAGATCAAATGCAGTCAGAATTTCCATCACCCTGACAGTTCTTTAAATTTATCCATACAGTTTATTGAGCATCTAATATGTGCAAAGTCTCTCATTACATCTTATTTAAAGTGAAATATGTTAACAATTAATTACATGAAACAGAAATACAACTATCATAATGGTCCAAATGACTCTGAAATACATACTTAAAATTTAAACTGTTTTTAAAAAATATGATCAACTATAAAAAATATTTTTTAAACCTACTGGAGCACTCAACTTCTGCAACTGACTTCTGAATTTAGAAGGTTAAAGGAAGGTTAATGGGAAAGTTTCTGAACATGAGGCATCACCCTGTTTAAAAGTAGCAATTCTAAAAGTATTCAAGGGCAAACACCCTGAAAACCTTTTCATTAGAGTCGATTTTGACCTACGAATGGCTTCTATCCTTGTAGACGTGATCTGTAACACAAAAGCAGCACTAAAGTTAATACTAATTCAGAAAGCAAAAAAAAAAAAAAAGATGGTAATCTTGTTGGCTGATTAGGTGAAAGGACACTATACAGTTCAACTTGGCTCAGGCTATCAATCGTTTGATTACATTATAATGTAAATGTGCTAAACAGTACACATTGTATCAGCTTCCCACATCAGATTCATATCACTTTAGTAACTTTTCCTCTTATTTTTTTTCAGTCTCTCTCTGTACCCATCTCTCTCCCCAGTATACAGTTTTTACACATTTAAGATATGTCTACTTTTGTTTCCACTATTTCTTCTGGCCTAATCAGGGTTGATTCTCTTCAAAATGTTTAATCTGCTGTCTCAGAGATTCTCCATAACCCTAACACTCTCATCTCAAGCCCCACCCCCTCCCAACCTCCATTCTAGAACCTGGACTCCTCCCCACCCTCTGTTCAGCACCTCACGGGCCTTAAGTGCCCTTTGCTACCTTTCCCCCAGCTGAGCACTTCCTCCTCTGACCCCCACGTCCCTCCCCAGGCCGGCAGCCTCAGCCATTCCAGAAACTAACAAAGAAGTTGCAGAGGGAGTGCCACTTCTCAGCACAGTAGGTCTCCGTGAGCTTTGTGTTCTCGTCCAGCCCGTCAGAATTCGGCCCTATCCCTAGGAGTCGCTCCTCTTCTGGGTCCAAGGCCGCCTTCCTCTTGCCCCCTTTAGTCTTCTTCTCAGACAGCTTCCCTTGGGGGCGCGTGCTCGGAGGAAGAGGGACCCTTGCGGCGGGGCCGATCGCGGGTTCCCGGGGCCGCCCCCGGCCCCTGGCCCGGGGCTTGGGATCCCGGAGGAAGCCCGCCGCAGTGGGGCCAGCGGGTAGGGACGCGCGGGGCACCAGGCGCAGGTCGGAGCCGTGGCCCTTCTTACCCGCGCACAGGCGGGCTTTGAGCGGCGCGGGGTCCTGGCAGGGCCGCCGCTTCTTGCGTAGCCCGCCTAGCACCTGCTTCCAGTAGTGAGAGCCGCGGGCGGCGTAGGCGGCGCAGCGCTCTGGCTGCCCGCGGTAGGCGCACTGATGGCGCACCCCGTCCCGGCCCTGGCAGCGCAGCGATAGCTCGCTGCCCACCGCCGGCCCTGGGGCGGACAGCAGGAGCTGCCAGCTGCATGCTTGGTGCTCCGGGCTGATGAAGCGGCCCGAAGAGCTGCCCGCGGGACCCCGGGCAGACTCTGCAGCCGTGCCTGCTAGCTTCTCGTCCCTCCTGGCGGCCGCGAGGAGGTAGCCACCCAGCAGCAGCGAGAGCGACGCTCGCAGCCTCAGAGGACCCATGGCTCTTCCGGGACCCCTGGGTGTTTCAGTGGTGGCACGGCCAGGACAGCAGCATCCCTCAGACCTGGGGAGAGAGGCAGAGACTGATACTGACCGAACCTGGCGCAGTCCTTGGCCCCAGCACATGAACCTGAGAATCCCTCTCGCCAGACTTTCTAGGTTCTGGTTTCCAGTGGACCACAGCAGCAACCCCACTGAAAAGTTCTGGGAGAAAATCGCTTACTGTCCAAATCATCGTTTTTAAAATCCTGTGCAAACACGAAAGCAAAGCAATGCCTGATAATTATCACCTCCATACCCCCTCCCTTCTCCATCCTCCAATAAACTATGACCCAAATAATTCTAGATTATTCCTAGGAACCTTACCGCGTTCTAGCAGAGGTAGCAGAGCTTTATTAGGGTAAGGGAATGACTGCAGGACAGAATAGTCTCTTTTAGTCGATTCCCAGTGAATGAACGCATTATCAGTGGGACAGAAGAGGCCTCCCTCACTATGCCCCTCCCCGAATTCTTTCACACAGGGAGATTCCCACCCCCACCACCCCACACACACGAATGATGGACGTGGCATGAAATATAAATCTTGTATTTAGCTTACAATGTTTAAAATAATCATGCCAATTTTAATAAGTAACCCTTTTCTTTCTACATGTTTAATCATCTAAACATAAAAGTTAAATAAAAAGATCTAAGTGTTAACAGTTAAACAAAATAAAATAAAACAATATGCTAAACCAGGCACTATTTACGCTTTTTTTTATATCATTCTGAGTTCTATATTTTCACTCATCATTTCCAATAGATTTTCTTATCCCAATGACTTAATGCTAATAACTGTTACTAGTAATAAAATATATTCTAGTTTATTAATATACCATTGTGTCCAGCAGTTAACCCAGGGATGGACATTTAGGCTTTTTTAGGTACTACAAATCAATTATAAACTTCTTACAAAAATAGAAGTTTAAAAAAATAATTTATTTGGATTATAGTTGCAAGGTAATATTACCAATTCAAATGCCATAATCTTTAAGAATTGACATGTTTTTGAATCTTGAAATTTTTATGTTAAGCAAAGCTAAGATATACATCAAGATATCCCATCATCTTTTAAAAATGTTCTCAGTAATAAATGTGATTTTTTTAAATTTCAGGAGTTTATACTTCTTACTAAAATTGTTTTACACAAGATGTCAAGAAATCCTAATGTCTTTCTGCAGACAGTATTTTCTATTACTGAACTCACATTAAGGTGTATTTGAACAGTTATAATTTGATTACTACTATAAAAACCAAAATATTTTTTTGTTTTTTATTTATTAAAACACCCCTTTATTGACTATGCATAGTTATTAACAATTCACATTTCACTTATCTACTGAGAGGAAGAGCGTTTATTCTTTCATTAAAAAGTTAAGCCCTTAGGGCAGCAGCAGGGATGCAGAGACTTCATTCTATAAATGGCACTGTCCAATGAATGTGAAATGTTTCCATATTAACACAAAGGAGAAAAATAAGTAAAACAAATGGGTTTCTCCTGCCCTCCACCGTCCCCTCCCTGCTAATATACTCCTCTTATTTTATAAAATGACAAAAGGTAAATACTTCCTACACCAGTATTCCCATTAATCAGAAGAAGAATGTCAACATTTACTTGGCACCACTAAGTTCAAAACGTCATTAGGGCTGTATAACAGTGACAAAAGGAGTATAAGGCCATGGTCACTTCCTCAGGAAGATGCCTTCTGGACAGCGAGGGTGGAAAATCATGCGGGCTTTCATCAACCCCCAGTACCTTGTTGCTCAAGTTTCTGGAGCCGTTTTTCAAGTTTCGAGATGTTTACTCGATACATCATCAGAAACTTGCCATTCAAATGAAAGACAGGGATGTCATATTTATACCTCTCATACCAAGTGGAGTTTTCTGGAAGTGTGATGTCCACTTCCTATAAAACAAACCTGTTTTTATAAGGCTCCAGAACTTCCTTAGCTTCATCACAGAGGGGACATGGATCCTTTGTGAATAAGGTCAGCACAGGCAGTACAGTTTTAGAGGCAGAGAGATTTCTCAGGAAGGGTCGAAAGCAGTACTTAGAAAGTTGCATACTATTTCCTTGAAACCAGAGCATCTTGCCCCTGAGCCTCCCGCCAGCTACGTTGCCGCCTCTGCCCTGGGCTCCGCACTTCCAAAATATTTTAAATTAGAAGAATGTACTTATATGTTAACATATATTAAATATACAGTGGTGTATATTGACCTAAGAAAGGAAGTTTTTACCACTCTGGTGAAATGAGAGAGAAATGAAATGATTTACCCAAGGCCACACACATTGTTGAGTGAAAAATCCACAAGCCACCTGATTGTCTTATTTATTTTGTTTTTTATTTATATTTTATTGATTATGCTATTATACTTGTCCCAACTTTCCCCCCTTTACCTCTTCCACCCAGCACCCCCCACTCCCTCAGACAATCCCACACCGTTGTTCCTGTCCGTGGTTCATGCATATAAGTTCTTTGGCTACTCCAGTTCCAGTACCGTACTTTACATCCCCATGGCTATTCTATAACTACCTATTTGTACCTCTTACTCTCTTCATCTCTTTACCCATTCCCCTAAAACTCCCTCTCACCTGGCAACTACCAAAACACTCTCTGTATCCAAGGTTCTGTCTCTGTTCTTCCTGTTTGCTTAGTTTGTATTTTAGATTCAGTTGTTGATATATATGTATTTATTGCGATTTTATTGTTCATAGTTTTGATCTTTTTCTTAAATAAGTCTCTTTAACATTTCATGTAATAATGGTTTGGTGATGATGAACTCCTTTAGTTTTCTCTTTCTGGGAAGCTCTTTATGTGCCTTTCGATTCTAAATATCTTTGCTGGGTACAGCAGTCTTGGCTGTAGGTCCCTGCTTTTCATGACTTTGAATATTTCTTGTCAATCTCTTCTAGCCTGTAAAGTTTCTTTTGAGAAATCAGCTGACAGTCTTATGGGAATTCCTCTGTAGGAGACTAACTGCTTTTCTCTTGCAGCCTTTAAGATTCTCTTTATCTTTAACCTTTGGCATTTTAATTATGATGTGTCTTGGAGTGGGCCTCTTTGTATTCATCTTATTTGGGACTCTCTGTGCTTCCTGGACTTGCATGTCTATTTCCTTCACCAAATAAGGTAAGTTTTCTTTATTTTTTCAAACAGATTTCCAATTTCTTGCTCTTTCTCTTCTTCTGGCACCGCTATGATGCTAATGTCGGAACACTTGAAATTGTTACAGAAGCTGCTTAACTATTCTCATTTTGGAGGGGGGGGGTCTTTTTTTTTCTTGTTCTGAATGGTTGTTTTTTGCTTCCTTATGTTCCAACTCATTGATTCAGTTCTCGGCTTTATCCACTCCACTGTTGTTTCCCTGTAGATTGTTCTTAATTTCAATTAGTGTATCCTTCATTTCTGACTGGATCTCTTTTATGCGGTTGAGGTCCTCACTCAGTTCTATGAATATCCTTATAAGCAGTGTTTTGAACTCTGCACCTGATAGAATGTTTATCTCCATTTTGTTTAGTTCTTTTTCTTTGGTTTTCATCTGTTCTGTTATGTGGACCATGTTTCTTTGTTCATTTTGGCAGCCTCCCTGTGTTTGTTTCTATGTATCAGGTAGAACTGCTATGACTCCCTGTCTTGGTGGCATTGCCTAATGTAGTGGCTGTCCTGTAGGGTCCAGTGGCACAGTCTTCCCTATCACCCAAGATGCGTACTTGCTCCTCTTGTAATTGAGCCTTGATTGCTGTTGGCAAATCAATGGTAGGGATTTACCCTGACCAGTCAGCTGCAAGTATTGGCTGTGACCACTGACCACCAATTTCCACCCTCTGTGCAGGGGCAGAGTGGTGGTGCTTTGAGGTGGTCTGTAGCTGTCCACTGGGTGCACAGGCTCTGGAGTTTCCCAGGTGGTGCAGGCCAAGGTCAGCCCCCAACTGTGTTCTGCCTGGGTCCACCCTGCATGAGCTATAAAGCAACCTGAAATGCCTGCTACTTGTGCTGGTCTTGGAGATTCCCAGGCAAAGCCAAGATGTGATTCTAGGCTGGCTGCTGATAGTGCTGTGCATGCAGCCACTTAGCAAGAGGAATGGGGACTGGGGTATCACTGTGGCCAATTCTTGCTTATTTGAGAGGATTTACAAGGTTGCGAAGCATGAATCAAGATGATTCATTTTTACGGAAAGGTTGCTGGGGTAGGCCTGTAAGTTGGGTGAGACAGAGTCTCAGGGGATCTCCAGGGTGGGGCAAACAGTGTTAGCCAGGTTGATGAAGTCTCAGACATGGCCCCCACCTACCAGCTCTGTGGATCTGTGTGGGGAGGGTTCAGAAAAGGGACCATGGCCTCTGCCTGTCTTTCTGTCTGGGAGAAAGTTGTCCCCCTGCTCTCACCTTGATGCCAGACATTTCAGTTCCTCCCTGTATGCCACGAGTACGTTTAAAGCTGCTACTCTGGTACTAGAGCTCAGAGGGGTTGAGGCTTAGTAAGTGCATGTGTGGGTTCTTAAAAAGGAACTGCATGGGACTCCAGAAGTTTCTTCCACCGAATCAACCTCTTCTGGTTTTTGCAGCCAGAAGTTATGGGGACCTATGTTCCTGGCACTGGAACCCTGGGCTGGAGAGCCTGTTGTGGGACTAGGACTTCTCACTCCTGAGATGTCCCTCCCGAGTTTTTATCCACCATACACGGATGTGGGACCAGCCCATTCTGTTTCTCTGCCCTACCACCAGTCTGGATGGATGTGGTTTCTTTAATTCAGTTGTTATCAGACTTCCATTAACTCAATTTCTGATGGTTCTGAGTGATGGTTGTTCTCTATTTTAGTTGTAATTTTGATGTGCCACCTAACTCTCAATAATCAATGATTTCTACATTTCAGGTTTGTATTACTACAATCAATTTCAAAGTTAGTTATGTCTGGGGTATAAGGGTGCTAAATGGTAATGGAAAAAATAAAGATTAAATA